TTATGTTCAAGAAATAAGCTGGTTTGAAGCCATCTTTTGGCTACTATAAATACAGATAACACAGTTATGCAGTATGTTTCTCTCTAAATGAGTCCTTTCACCCTATACTTTGGAATAAATCACAACAGTTTATTTACCCAACACATCTGCCCAATCACAACCACTGTGAATCTACTTCATTATATTCACAAGGTCTGTATTTCTGCTAATAATTTAATAATTTGGTCTAGTTTTCCATGTCATTTTGTAATATCTCAAACCATCCCAGTTGTTCAGTTTTGGTTTTTTGAACTGAAGCCTAACTTCCGGTTTTCTTCTGCAGACTGTTGTTTTTTGAGCCATTACAAACGTGTCTAATGTTTATTTGAAGGACCCTGCTTTTTCTTTCCCGTCAGACTGTGTCTCAGATGATGCTGTACCTCCACCAGAATCTCTCCCACTGCACCCATTGGCTCAGTCTGTGTACGCACTGCGAGACAAAAATTCAAAACTGAGTGCCATTTGAAGCATGTCTGTGCTCTTCTTTCACCTTCACAGTTCAGTGCAAACTCGGGCATTGCCTGTGGGGTTTCAGTATGTCTTTAAAACCAGGAACTTCCCATGCATATACGGACAGATGTGAAATTGAGGTAGATTTCAAATAGCATCAAACTAAAACCAGCATTATGCTTCTGATTTATGAGCTCATCTCCAACACTGCTTGGAAAGCAACAAATAAAAGGAAAAGCAACAACAACCAAAAGGGAACAGATCATAAAAGCATGCAACAAGTTCACTAGCTTCTACTTGTAATATTACTCGCAAACTGAGCTTCAGAATTTCATTTCATATTTATATAAGGGTGAAAAGGACTGTTTCAGAACATAGCTTTGATTTTGCATGCACACAGTGCTCAAGCTATTGGCACAGGCAATCTCATTGGTAGTGTGACTAAAACTCATGCTGATGTTTTGCATTCATACATGTATATGTATTTCTTCTTGTTTTCTTGTGCGAGGTTTGCTGCTTACAGAGGTCAACATACCCCTAGTTTTCAAGGCTGTTCTATTTTGCTTCTTTTGTTGTTATATTACAGCTTTATAGTTGTGTGTGTAGGCTTTGTTTTCTATTTCTTCTTTTCTTCTTCCCAGTAAAAGCAATTCAGGAGGAGAAAAAAGCATTTCTGTCATGCTATAACCTGTGGGAAGAAATGCATGACCTGTCTTGCCCAGCACCTAGCTTCTGTGGTAAAAGCAGACTTAGTTATTAACTGCAGAGTGCCTGACAATTTCTTCCAGTAGAATAACATTATACCCTGTAAAGAGACCCCTACTTTCCTCTCTGGGAAACAGCTGCAAAGCATCACCTTTAGCATAGCTGTACTGACACTTGATAACCTGCTCCATAAAGAGGTCCCTTAATTCTCAAAAATCTTGTCAGCCATCTTCTAGAATTTGGAGATCATAAATTAAGACTGGGGCAAAAAAAGAAAAAAAAAAGAACTACAGAAATTTACTCTAGGGAAAGAACATCTTGATCCTAATCTATATCCTTCATGATGCTAGAGATCCATGAGGTTTGTCTTTACCCATCAGCGTCCTTGGCCACATAGGAGATGCTCACAAAATGGCACTTACTTGGTCCTTAAGATGCATTTGTCTTACCGCTCATCAACACTCCTTTGGGGAAAAAAACCCTCTCCCATTGCTGAAAAGCTCTGCAATCAAATTTATGTACTTTATCACAGCAACGGCAGAGAAAATGCACTTCCTGCCTCTCTTCTACCTCAGGATGCTGATTATTGGCTAACCGCCCTCACCATCAATTTGGGGTCCTAATTTTATAAGGTTCTGTCAGCTCTTTGTTCTACTGGGAAGTACTGTGATTTCCTTTCTCTTCTTCTACTGTCACATCCAATTGCTCATAAGGTACTTAAAAAAATGCAAGGGGTGGCAATAATTACTGCTACCTGATTGAAAACATAAAAATATACAACAAAAGTCAAATAGATAGATTAATTCTGCTTCTTTATTTTTCTTGTATATCTTGATTGCCAGAAACTGATTTGCTTTTTTGGTAGGGAGATAAAATCAAACTCCTGTTTAGCTTCAGCTTTATTGCAAACCCTGCTCCTATACAGGTGTAGAGTAAAAACTTCTGTCTAAGCTTTCATCCTAAAAGCACAGTTGTAAAGCTTCTGGCACGCCTGATACTCTTTTTTACATGGAAATCTGTCCAGCTGAATAGGCATGAAAATCACAGTTTCATATTGTCTCTGTATTTCTGGGTTGTATTTAATTGCTGCCAGGATCCAAGTAACAGAAAATCCCGTTATTAAATTATCTAACTGTGATATAGGTCTTCCTTATCTTATATTAATGAGCCACCTTTTCTGAAATTTCCAATTTATTACTGGCAGTAGGTGAAAAGTCAATGGCTTTACCAAGGAAAAGGTTAAGTTACATCTAAATTCAACTCCATAATATACTGTACCTGAGAAATCAGATTTAATTTCATTATTAGAATTGGCTTGTACAGGCTTTTGGGAACTGTACAATTTTAGCTGACTGTTTTTGACTGGTTGGGTATCCAGAATTTTGGGAAATCTGATACACATTTCTATGGCTCCAGAAACTGTTGATCTGTTTTTCTAATATCAACTTTTCTTATTAGCTTGAACTCAGCTGAACACAATTTGCCCCCCAGGAAAGTTCTTTGATTGCACTGATAATGATGTCTGCTGGATTCCCCTGCAACCATAATAGCTTAGCCTATATGTTCTACATGATGGAGTTTAAAGCTTGTCCTCTAACAGCTCACAGGATCTCCTACTGTTCCATTTATGAGTGAGGACTGCCATTGGGATGTCCAGATAGGCTTGGATCCCCGTAATTTGACCAAGGGGCTGTGTCACCTTCTGAAGGCCAGTGAGCCTACTCCAGGGAGAAGGCAAAGATAGTACCAGTTCTTCCTGACTGCACTCTGGGAGCACACAAGGAGCTGGGAGAAAGCTGTTATACCAGTGAGGCAGGTGAAAAAGTGAAAGTCATCACCAACAGGAGATAAGATAAACATCTGCTGGCCTTCAAAAGAGGAGCAATAAAGGGGTGTGTTCCACAAGAAGAAACAAATCTGATCAGTACTGTGGAGGGGAGCTGAACCACAAAATACTCAAAAGCCCCCAGGAGACAGAGGCAGGCAGCTTTCATTACAGGTGTTTTTTATTCTAAGTACCTGTGTAAATCTCTTGATGCATCTAAGTGGCCAGTGACTGGCTTATATTTATACCTCTTTATATTTTACCTTTATATTTTACCTCTCTACTACTAGAGGTAGGTTTTTCTGGAAAATAGTATGCATTCCACTAAAGTGTTAAACCAAAAAGTGGAATAGTGGAGCTGGGAGCAAAATGAACTTTAGCTCCTGGTGATTTGAAGGGTTTGACATCAGCCTACAGACTTGCATTTGTCTTAGAGGCCAGTGCTGAGAGGGTGCTGATGGAGAGCTGGGGCTAAGGAAGATTGCAGAGAGCAGATCTCCTGCTGTGGTAGCTGAGGTGTCACGGTGTGCTCTTCAGCCTGATTTATTAAGATTAAGGTCTGTCAGGCAATTCTTTTGTCCCAAGAAACTGGGTGAGGAAGAGATGATGTTTGGACCAAAGATAACAAATGGTGTTTCTAACAAGAAGAAACTGCAGTAGGTATGTAGGTTTTAGACACTATTCTACGTGACTCCAGCAGAAGAGAGAGGAAGATGGATCTCTACAGAAGCAGTTGAAAATGAATCTTTAACTTTTAAACTTGCACCAGTTACGCTTCTATAGGGTCACAAGACAGGAGATTCTCTAATATTCAGTGTATGCTGCAGTATTTATTCCAACTGTTGTTGCTGAATAGCTAAAATATGACAGTAAAATCCAGAAGTGTTACCACGTGGATTCTTCAAGGAACTGTGAAGGCAAAGCAGACTCCGGTTTTCTTTCAAATATGATAAAACAACAGTGAGTTCTGTCACTCCTATACTAAATGTGTGTGTTTTTTAACAAAAGCCTCGATAAATACATCTCATTCAAAGAAGGGATTCCTCAGAAACGAGTTATTCTTTTTAGCTTTCAGGGAGTGCAGCAGATGAGAACCCCTTTGTGTTTGCTTGTGAGGCAGCTTCAAAGACCTTTGGCCATCTTTCCATCTCAGCAAATCCTAACTGGAGCTTTCAGTCTGACTATCCAGAATGACAGCACTGTATGGGCTGGAAGGGACCTCTGGAGATCACCCGGCCCAGCCCCGTGCTAAAGCAGGTCACACAGGAAGGCATCCAGGTGGCACTGGAGCATTTCCAGAGAAGCAAACGCCACAGCCTCTTTGGGCAGCCTGTTCCAGTCCCTTGGGATGCCTTACAGAATCACCCAGGTTGGAAAAGACCTTCAAGATCATCCAGCCCAACCATCCACCTATTGCCAATAGCACTCACAAAACCATGTCCCTCAACACAAAATCCAAATGTACCCATTCCCTTTTCCAGGAAACAACCTGAAGCACGGGCTTCAGATGCTGCAGAGATCCTGCAAGCAGCTGAAATAAGCATGGATGCCTGCAGATCTCCAGGGAAGTGACCCTACAGCCTCTGGGCAGCCTGTGCCAGTGCTTCATCACCTGCACAGCGCACAAGTACGTAGCACATTCCCACCTTCACTCGCTCTCCTTCAGCCAGTACATAAAAAGGTGTTGCTTCTCCTCTTCTCCCGGCCAAAATCAACTAAAACCCCTCGGTGGAGGACTACCCCGGGAATCCTTTAGGAAACGCTTTGCAGCGGCCATACAAACAGCCATCTCCACGCGCTGCTCTTTGGGCGTCCGGCCGTTGGGCGCCAGGAGGCAGCGCGGAGCGGGGCCCGCCGCTAATCATTAACCTCTCCCGGCCGCCCCGGGCTGCGTGCATCGCTGCTCCCGCACTGTCCGGCGCCGACGGCAGTTCCTCGCTCTCTCTCCGTTCCCCCGACGCCCGGGGGGCAGCGAGCCGCCATGGAGAGCGAGGCGAACGACACCTTCCTGACGTCCTGCGGCGGGAGCGAGCCGCCCTACGCTCAGGAGCTGCTGGGGAGTAAGTGCGGCCGCCGGGAGAGGGAATCCCCGAGCAGTCCGGAGGGAGCGGCGCTGAGAGGGAGTTGCCGTGGCGAAGGCTGCGGGGAAGAGAGGAGGGGAGGAGGGAGAGCAGCCCGCAGCCGCCTGGGCGAGGAGAGAGGGAGGGCGGCTGTGAGCAGGGAGACTTTGGCCTGACGGGGTCCTCCTGCCCCACACAACTCCCAGTGAGTCTCCGAGGATTCTGTCCGTGTGAGGAAGTGATGCGCAGACCTGCCTTTGGACTTGTAAGGGAAGCAAAGAATACTGTGTAGATATGCTGCTGTTTGTAACCTGCTTGGTTAAGCTCCTAGAACAACCTCTGTTACTCTAAGAACCTTGGTCCTAGAATTCCCCTTCTCGAAAGGACTTTTGCATGATGCTTGGAGGCATATCCTTCCTGGATGCTGCCTGTGGATTCTGGGAAAATATGTTCACAAACTTAACTACTTGGATCATCCTCGAGTGAGTGGTCCATGGCTGTAGCTAAGAACAAATGAGAGGATCACGTGGCAGCTGATGTTGGCAGAGCCCTCTAGGTCCATGTGGCCCAACCCCTGTCCCAGCAGGACACCCAGAGCAAAGTGCCAGACCCACATCCAGATGTCTGCAGATCTCCAGGGAGGAGACCCCACAGCCTATGGGTAGCCTGTGCCAGTGCTCCGTTACCTGCACAGCACAGAAGTACTTCTGGTATTCAGAGGGAACCTCCTGTGCCCCAGTTTGTGCACACTGCTGCTGGTCCTGGCACTGGGCAACACTGGAAGGAGCCCGGCTCCAGCTTCATTGCACTTTTGGCATGTGACTTTTCAGGAACAGGACTAAGATGCCCCTCCAAGATGCTGTTTTTACATTAAATGTTCAAAGTACATGAATGTATGAAATGTGTAAATCAGATTTTTGTTTGTTTTCTCTTTTTTTTTTTTTTTCTTCTTCTTTCTGCAGGCCTTGACCTTGCTGGTAGATTTCTCTTGGCAATCTTGACTCTGATGACACTAATTGCCGATCTGGTATTTATGGAAGAAGTGATCTACATCTACAGGAAAACCCCCTCCTCCAAAAGATCCATTTTAATTTGGATAAATGCTGCAGCTCCAGTAAGTGTTGTGGAAAATAATGCTGAAAATAATCTGGAAATCTGCATGGCCCTGCTTTACCTCTACCCTCCATACAACCCTCCTCCCTTTCTCTGTAGGTGATTGCTACAACCTCATGCATTGGCATTTGGATTCCTCGCTCAACAATGTTTACAGATTTCACAGCATCAGTGTGAGTATTCTGCTCGTTCCTAGATTTGCCCCAAACCCTGCTTTTCTTCCCTTTAAACATCTGCTACTCTTGGTAAACACAGTCATTTTGTAAATTTAACAATTTAGTAATTTTTGGTTTGAGTTGAAATCTCTTGGCATCTCCTTTATTTTTTTGCTGAAGCACTTCCCAGCACTACAGCCCCCTAATGTGGGAATGTCAGCATGAAGAACAGTGACTTGCATGTAATTGATTGTCTTGATTGATGGTAGTTTTGAAGTAATACCCTTTCCTTTCTCTCTCTCAGTGTCATGTAGAATGAGATTCTGACCTGTGACTTCTTCTCTGTGCTTTCATTAATGATGAGCTGCATAGATCTATTATTAACAGTGGCAAATGAACCTCCAGTGAGCGCTTCAATGTAAAAATCCTCCACAGCTGTCCTGATAAAAGCCCTTTCTGTACATGTGACAGCTCTGACATACAGAGCAGGATGAAGCACGGTCCCCGCTTTCTGAATGCAATGGGGCAGCTCCCATAGGCAGAGCCAAGTGTGGGGAGCCTTGGGTGCTCCAGAAGGGCTGGGGTAGTTTTGGAACTGCAGGACCACATCACAGAACCTCCTGCATGGATCCAGCCCATGTCACACTGCATGTGCAAAGAGAGCAGAGTAAAGAAGGATGGAAAGCAAACTGGTGGGGCTTTTGCTGCAGGTAGTGCAGGACTTCTGAGGACCCATCCTATGGCACTTTTAGCCCATCTCAATCTCTCTCCTGCCTCGTCCAAGCTGCAAGTTCCTGTTCCCTTTCCTACCACTCCCTCTTCTCCAGCTGCTCCACAAGCTCCTTTAAGGAGTTACCACAGCTGAACAGGACCTCCTTTATTTGGTGGGACTGGATTTTGGTGAATAAGTTCCCTAATACAGTATGGGACCAGGAGGAAAGGGTGGCTGCACTATCTGTTGTTCGTGGGAGGGCTGAGAACATGCTGCTGCTGACAGGAGAGGTGGGGCTGCAGTAGTCACTGTTTGGATCAGATTTGTGTGCAGAGGGACTGCACCCTAACTGGAGCAGCACATAGGATGTTAGGTAAACACATAAATAAACCTAGCCACGTGGGTTTTGCTCTTCTTAATTTTAAGAGGAGGAATAGGACTTGCTTTGAAAAGTTTGGGCTAGTCACGCCTAGATAAGTGGTAGAAAAATACATCTGTAACGACTTGGGCTGGAAGAGCCACCAGCACACATAGGGAAAGACCTGCAGACTTTTCAAAGCTAGCTCTGGGCTTTCTGCTTACTGTGAGGCACAAACTTTAAAAGATGTGGACTGAAGGTTTAAGAAACCTGCACAGGTCTGTCAGAGAAGTGTGAGAGATGGACAGAAAAGCTTAAGCTGGCTCTTTCTTCCCCTCCTAGGTTTTTTGCCATAGTCATCCACAAGTTCCTGATGATGATGATAAAAGAGTGTGGGGGTCAAAAGCTGTTCCTGAAACGGTTTGAAAATGGTCACTTCAAGATCAGCACGGGGCCCTGCTGTTGCTGCTGCCTGTGCCTGCCCGGTGTGCGCATCACTAGGTGAGTTGCCCTTTAAGATTTCCCAGCTGGAAATCTGCTGCTGGAATCCAGCCAATTTGGCAAGCTTCACTTACAGCAAAGGGCCTCCCTCCTTCCAGAAAGCCAGTTTCAAGCTGTCTCTTAAACAGTGCCATCCCACAGGGCTGTACAACACCGCTTATTTCTCATTTTTATAATGAGGAATTGTATGTAAGAGCCAGAGCATGAGGTAACTCAGTTTAACCCAACGCCGTGTTTCCGACACGTAGTAACGTTTAGCACTGTGGTGTCTCCTCAGCTAATCCCGTTGGTCTTCAGGAAGCCTTTTCTATAGTAAGCAGAAAAAGAATTTTCACTCTAGAAAATCTAATAATTGAGATTTCGGTTGAGAAGCGGGGTAAGGATGGAGAGCTGCGCCTCCTCAAGAGGTGGTGCGGTGTAACACAAACCCTGCCCTTTTGCAGTGCTGTCTGCTAGGGCTCCACCTCTGGTCAGAGTCACCCCACCATTCATACACTGCTCCCAGCCTGAAAGCCTCATACATTCCAGGGTTTTCCTCCTGGCACAGAGTACATTCTTCACAGCACAATTCCTTTCCATTGAAAGGAAAAGCTCAAGGTATGCTTTTGGGGGAGAAAAAAAGAAAAGAAAAGAAAAAAAACTACATTTTTATTGTAATCATTTTTCTTTCAGCTACCGCATTTAGTATTATGATGTAAATTCTTATTTCCATTAATTTATTTTAATGGAATATTGGTATTTACTTACATAGAGGGAGCACCAAGAAAAAAGCAACAACAAAGGAATGTAATGCAATTATGTAAAATCAGCAGGTACTGATGTGGATCTAAATCACTTCTAGTGATTTTGATGGGCACTGATTCAGGCTTGTGTCAATAGTGAATGCTGAAGAAATCTATGGGACAGCAACATGCTACCAATCTGTAATGTCACCAGTGCATGCATTTTTCTTTCCGTGTCTGTCACCCTCTGCATTTTCTTGTGGTAGCTGAAGGATGGGGAGAGGCTCCTCTACTCTGCCTTCCTGATGGTCAGTCCTGTGACAGGTTAACCATGAATATTGAGAGGGCTGAAGATGTTAGCCTCAGCACAAGGGGGCTTTTTACTCTGCTGAGGGCTTTAGGCTCCTCTTCTGGAATCTGTAGTACAGGGAAACTCTTGTGCTGTCTCTGCTTCTGAGTTCTAGCCCTTTCCCATTAGAAGGTATGGGTCGTTTTTTGTTGTTGTTTTTGTTTTAAATGAGCAAGCCGTGACAGAGAAAGACCAGTTTTATATTGCTTCCATAGACAGGCAAAGTAATGGGCTGTCCCAGTAGATAGAGATGTGTCAGATGAGGTTTTTTTAAAACAAAAACAAAAACAAAGTAAAAGGAGACCTGCATTTGCAAGGCAAACAAGTCCTGTCATTGCAGGGACTGCAGTATTTGTCATATTGTCTTTCAAAGCCAATGGGAGTAAGGCGGGGTCTGTGGCCAGAATCGGAGCGCTGTAGTACTTTGCTGTTCAGCTGAAGGTTGCTCTTCCCTGTCTCCTCAGAGAACTGAAATAGCAAGGTAAAAAAGCAGCAGCAAGTGGCATTGTTCAGAATGGTTGTGCTTCTGCCAGCTCTGCCGTTTGCTCTGGGGCAGGAAGGAACATCCCATTTTGTCCGTGGAAGTGTGCAGGAAACATGTAAATGTGGTACTGAGGGATATGGTTTAGTTCCATGTACACCATGTTGTCCACAACAGTGGTGATAGATGGATGGTTGGACTAGATCATCTTGGAGGATCTTTTCCAACCTACGTGATTGTATGATTCTGTGATTTTTTTGCTCAGCATTGGTTAATCTTCATTGTTGCCAAACAAGAAAATTACTGCTTTTGGAGACACCTTAATAGACCTGTCTTTAAATAGGCATTTGGGTTATTCTTGAAAAGTTTGAATCTTTAAGCTGTTCCTCCCTAGACCTTAGCGGTGTCCAGTAGGAGTGCAAAAGTTTTGCTGTTTTACAACATCAGAAAAATGCTATAAAGATTGCTAATAAGATTTTTCCCTCTGTGACATATATAAATATTTTTTTTCGTCAGGCGATCCCTCTTTTGGCTGAAGGTGGGCACCTTCCAGTTTGCTTTATTTCGACCTGTTTTCATGTTTCTGTCAACAGTGCTTTGGACCAATGACAATTACAGCCTTTCCAATGTAAGTGAATATTTTAATCAGAGATGGTCTACAGAACCCATAGCTTTTGGTTTGATTTTAGTATCTTAGCCTACAACTAAACTCTAGAACCCGAGAGCATTTCTGACTGAAGTATCTCACTTCAGAATGTGTTTCCTTGCCTCTCTTGGAATGAGACTGGGTGTTGGGGAGGGTTAGGCTCTGTACAGCTGGAGTAGTAGGACTACACATTGCCCTTTGGGGTATACTCACCCTGTGTGTTGTAAGGTACAGCTCTAGGAAACAAGTGTGTGCACAGATGTGTAATTAGAAAACCTAATTCTATGCTTTTCTGCAAATGATGGCAGGTAGTACAAAGCAGAGGAATGGTACTGTGTAAGCTGCAAAATGATGGAAAATTGTATCTGCTAATAATTGTGCACCTCCTAGATAATTCAAAATAACCGTAGTATTTTTGTTGTTGTTTAATGGTGGATAAGTAGATGATGCCTCAGATGGCACGGTGAGTACACTCATGAGCCAGCTGAGAGCTCTCAGTAGGGTGCTGCTGAGGTCAGATAGAGAGGCTGTGTCATTCTTTACTGCAGCTGGTAGCACTCTGATGGTACCACACAGTTTTTCTCAGCTTTTATGGAGACAGAAAGAGGCATTTTAACGTCTGCATCATTCAGTCTGCAGCTCTGCCTGGAAATAGCAACATTTGTGCTATAAAGGTTTACAGGTATGTTTGATTTGCTTTTCAGTTATCTCCCAAAGGAGCTGCAATATGGATTAGCTGCTTCGTTGCTATCCTTACCATTATTGCTCTGTGGCCAGTTGCAATCATGTTTCAGCAAGTGAGAGTTCTCCTTAACTGTAAGAAGATCATCCCAAAGTTTGCTCTTTATCAGGTGAGAAATTCAGTATTTCCAGTAAGAATTGATCTTACTGTTGATACAACACCACCTATCCAGTTTTTTAGTCCTTTGCTTAAGGATTATAGTATTTTTTTTCCATTAAATGCGCTGTGCAATGGCATATTTTTACCTGATTAAGACTGTGTCCATTTGAAGCACTTTCCTTGGCTGCTGTTCAGTGTCAGTTTGAGCCAATTTTACCTCTGGTCGTTCAAGCATGCTGGAGATGTGAGCTGTATAAAATCCATTCATCCCTGGGCAGCTGAAATCAAAACAGCACCTTCCACAAGGCTCAAAGGAAGCTTTTTAGGTGCCACATCCTGAAATACAATGTTAAAAAGCTGGTGTGTACTTTCAAAAAGCAGGAGAGGATGTGGAACATGGTGTGAGTGGGTTTCAGCAAGTCATTTTGTTTTGATAGTATTTTTCTTGGCCATTGTGCATTTGAGAGTTAGATAATAAGGAAAGTTATCTAAAATATTACTGGCTGGAACTCACTAAGGAACAGATCCAGATAGGTTATGGGCAGGAACAGGTCCACCCTCTCTCACATCGTCCAGAAGAGAGTACAGTAGAATTCTTGGCTATACAGCTTTCTAGTACAGGACATGTGGAAGACTAGTGTGCTAAGGCTCTGTTAAGAAGATCTAAAACCCTGATAAATGCAGCAAGCAGGACAGTTGCACATGCAAAGCTACACAGACATGAATCTAGGTTTAAGATGGCAAAGCCTGTGATGTGAGTGTTTACACTGAGAGAATTACACCAGCGTCTAGAGACACTTTGTTGTATCTGGTGAAGGCCTGGCTTACTGAATAATAGGTAAAATAAAGCGTGATGGTTGCTGAACCCAAACTGGAGAGACCTTTATCCCTTTTGGCAAAAAAGACATACATATAACATGTATATATAACGGGGAACACTGCATCTCCCTGCTGTAGCAAAAAGATGAGACAACAGAAATATCGTTCTTCCCACTAAGTAAGAGCATAAGCTCTTAGATTAACAGGAAGCTTTTAAGACATTTTACTTATTACTCAGAGCCTGATATTGTTTAATATCCCAACTGGGAGCTCTCTCTATGTTGCACCTCCCACACGAAGAGCTGGGAAAACACTTCTAAAACAGAGGTTATATTTAATACTTGCATTTTGAGCAATAGCATCCTGACCCAAAGATGAATTGTGCAGGATGGCAGGCAGCCTGGATGGAAGAAAGGGAGAGCAAGAAAGGAGGAATGAGATAAAAGAATGAGCTAAAACAGACTCTATTATGAAAGCAAAATAGTTGCGTGAAATATAATCCTTTTTTTTTCTTTTTTCTGGTAACTAAGGCATCTATTTTCTCTTTCTGGTGTAGTTTATCCTCATTCTGATCCAGTTGCAGACAGCTACTATCAGCATTTTGGCTATGCAAAGAATTGTCCCTTGTGTTCCACCACTCTCTTCTTCAGCAAGAGGAGCATGTAAGTTCTTTTGGAAAGAATGTTCTTTGTTTTCTTACAGAGGCATCAGTTCAGTTTTCCTAACTGCAATATCTAGTGTTTTCCCCAAGTATGAATTTCATGGGATTTCATGTAGATTCTGGAGAATCTCAGCTTTTATTTAAGAAAATAATGCATGCATGATTACTGTTAAATCTGTTGGATTTTGGATGTGTAATGTATTGCATGCTTATTGAGGAGCAGTACTGTAACTTTGTAAATATTTTGATGCCGAGAATGAGAGGCACTCTGTTATGGGAACAGAATGGTAACTTTTGTTCCTTTTGCACAAACAATGATTAATAAAATGGTCTTTTTCCTCTCTCTTTTTTTTTCCTCTCTTTTTTTTTCCCTCTTTTTTTTTTTTTTTCCCCCTCTTTTTTCCCCCAGATATAAGCCACCAGATCCTCATCATGGAAATGTTTCTTATAACTTTAATGTCAAGACTGGTCTATCGGAGAAGATACAAGGAGCTTGACCCTCCAGAATGTATCAGTGAAGAAGCTGGGGTCAAGAAGCAGGCTCCTACCATGAATGTTGCAGTTAACGAAGATGGATCGTAAGGGTTTTAGAGGCTTCCAATGCTCCTGTTCTGCAGCAGCTGGGAGCTCAGCTTCAGGAGCCTCTTTCACTGTGTATAGCCACAGTGCATGTCAGAACAACTTCTGACAGAAATGCCTGTGAGCTGTGCTGAAAGGACCAACGAGTGGAAAGATAAGCCTATTTATTTTCCAGTGATATGTACATGGTGTGTTTTCAAACCATGTACTTTTATCTTGTTCTTCAGCACTTGATGGCAGTCAAATGATCTCATAATGTGATTTTTTTTTTTTTTTTTTTAAATTAGCTATTAGAATCTCTGTGGTTTAATCTAAAGCTGTTCCTGTTTCATCTCTTGATTTCATTTAGCTCTGTTTCAGGTAGCCTAGATTGTCCTCATATGTCTAAAACAGCATATTCCCATCCTTTCTGCATTAAAATTTATCAGCTCTCAGTGTTACAAGGTCACCATAGCAAGTCTGATCAGTAAATGTTTGTTTTGAAGTCCTCAGACTGGTATGAGCTCTCCACCTAAATGATGATCTCTTTAGGACGACACTTTTTATATTCCCTGGCATTTCACCCCCTAACCTGGTAAAAACACCGTTGCCATTTGTAAATACGTCGTTGGCTGATGCTCTGTTGCTAGAGAAGGGAGATTCTCTGTTGCTGGTCTGGAAAAGTAGGAGTCGGCCATGTGAGGTGTTCTGTCACTGCTCTGTGGTGTTATGTAATACTTTGGTTTTCTGATGTGGAAAATGGGAATTATGATACTCGATATCGTTGCATTCAAGATGCCTATGGGAATGAGTACTGTTGAAAGGAATCTCTTTCAAAAACCTACCTCCCCAGCTTCTCCACCTCCAAATCTGTCCTGTTCAGTGTTTGTACCCATTTTGCTGAAAACAGTTTTGGTTGCTTGGTTGGTTTGTTTCAAAAGATCCCATTGTCCTTCAATGAGCCTAATCATTTTGATTCAGCTCACTATAATTTGTAATATGACAGCAAGCTGTTGGATATGCTGTGTATTGGGAAAGGAGGTGCAGAACTATCACGCTAGTGCTCGTCTCCTCATCTAGTCTGATCCCTAAAGTAAATACTTCATCCATATAGCAGGAATGTTTATTCCATAAGGAGATGGGGAAAACGCTTTGTGTTGGAAAAGATGTTAATAACATCCTTTATCAATATGGTAAAGTCTGCAGCATAGGAAGTTCTGCACAAATGTGCGCAAGAACTTCTTTACAGTGAGGTGACGGAGCACTGGAACAGGCTGCCCAGGGAGGTGGTGGAGTCTCCTTCTCTGGAGATGTTCCAGACCTGCCTGGATGCCTACCTGTGCGACCTGCTGTAGGGAACCTGCTTTGGCAGGGGGGTTGGACCCGATGATCTCGGAGGTCCCTTCCAACCCCTACAATTCTGTGATTCTGTGATTCTGTGATGGTATCAAATACAACTTTACTGGGGCTTTATTTCTCATTTACAGGGAGCTCCAAAAATACTTTTAATTTGAGAATTGGCTGTGGAAAATGAAATATTCCAAAAGCTTTAGCTTGTGAATAAGCTGTGAGAAGAAAAAGAAGTTGAATTAAACAGAACATTTTCTTTCTGACTGAGGTTAAAAATAGTATTTTCTTTAACAAGGGAAGAATTTCATGATGCTAGAAATAACTGAATTATTTTTTGTTTGAAGCGGTTGAAACAATTTTTATATGATTTTTTTCTAAGCAGGCAATCCATGAAATTAACACAGATTTTTGAACTGCATTAATGTGAGAGAATCTACATATTTTTTTTTTCCTTGAAAAATAATTTAGGTGAAAATTTTCACTCTACTCTGGAGTGTGTCAGCAGAATTAACAAATCAGCTGATATCTTTAATGTGAGAAATCTTCTTAATGTAATTTAACGTTATGGCTATTAGCATATTCCTAATGTTGCTTTATATCAGTCTCAGTCACAGATACATTTGTAATGTTTCTCTTATCAACTTGTAGAACAGTACTTCATAACAATATTGGGAATGGTTGGCTGTGAGCTGAAGAAGTTTCAAAATTGGAAAATAAAACATATTGACTTGGTGTTTTGTGAACTGCTGTGGAAAAGACTAATTACTAGATCTACTGAGCACTACTGGAAAATGTTTTCTATAGCAGTTCTGTAAAGGTGATGTCTTGGTGAGTGCGATCTGTTGCAAGGAAGAACAGGTCTGTGTGCTGAAGCTTGATTGCTTTTGAAAACAGATGGAGCATATGGAGAAATGGTGGTCTCTGTCTGTCCTATGAAGGCACCTGAAGGCACAGCAAGAGCCTTCACCTGTTCTTCTTTTGGGGCATTTATTCAATGAACAGAGATCTTTTATCACTTTTGGTCTGGTCTTTGTCACGTCTCTGAAATGTCTGCTAAATGTACCTTGTAAACATCAGTGTAGGCCTGATTTATCTATAGGTGTCACTAGCTGTTATGCTTTTGGGCTGGTATTTTAAAACCTACTGTTGTATTCACCTGACATTCTTCAGCAAGAAAATGTACTGTCAGGTGGCGATTGTCAAGTGGACTTCACATTTGACAGCAGACACTTCCCTTAGTAAGTGTAGTAGTCTCATTCCAGAAGTCACTTGCTTACACAGAACCATCTTGAAAGCAAAATTAGATATACTGAAATATGTGCCTAAGAGCTTTCCTGAGTTACAGCTTACATGAATGCAATAGAATATGTGGCTTTATTGTTACAAATCCTTTCATCTTTTTGAGCTTTGTAAATTAAGAATTTCTTCCCCTCCTCAGGGTCAGGCTAATAGCCCATGCAATGTAGAGGTCCATGTCTGACAGGGCAGGCATCTAAGAACCAGTGTGCAGGGCAGCAGGTGGCCTGCACTGTGGTACATTCATTCAGATGTTCTTGAAATGAGAACACTGCAAGTCACGGCCTCCAGGTTGGACCTCAGGCAGTCTGAGTGAGGAAAAACAACACAGAGAGCAGGAAATCTGATGAACTTGCCCCAGGAGGTAAGAGAAGGGAATTTTGCATCAGCTTAGGATCAGGCTCTAGGAAATACCTTTTCTCTTTATCTCTGTGTATTCGGAAATCACAATTAAGATTGAAAATAAATCTACAAATACCCGAGTTAAATGATTAGATAAGTTAGATGCTATTTAGATGCTTCTACCCCAACAATTCTATACAATTCTATATTGTGCTTCGAAGAAGAAAGAAAACAATGCTGCAGAAAGTAATCTGAAAAAGAGGAAGAAACTTTGAAGAAGTTAAGAATTTTGTTTGTTTGTTTGTTTTAAATGGGGAGAAATCAGACGTAAAATCTTGACAATATTTTGGACATTCTTGGTCATTTCTAGGAGAGAGAAAAATTGTCCAATGGCAGTTTTCCTTTGCATCTACAAAGGGACCTGACTGCACAGTGCCTGTTGTACAGTCAGGTGTATGGACAAAACTAATGAGAGGATAAAATTACTTTAGTTTAATGTGATTGACTAGCCAAAAAAGTGTCAGTTTTCCCCTATAGACAGTCAGGCACAACTGAAGGCCTGGCCAGCAATAACTCTTATGCTTTGCCAGGGGCAGGGAGCCCAGGAGCGGGTTCTACCTATCTATTGTGTATATGGACCCAGAAGTTATAAGTTCTATTTTTTTAAGTAATGAAATCTGTCTTACTTGGCACATAGCAAAAGGCATCTAAATAGGCTGACCCAGAGAGGAAGGATTAGAGAATGCAGCAGGTCTGTACTGCATGGGCTGTATCATTCTTTGAGAACCATGGCTCCAAGAGCTAGAAGAAGAGCAGAAAACAGCACAAAGACAACAACTGACTTCACATCCATCTTTTATTGCGATTTACTGCAAAAAGTGAGTTTCTGTACTTTCTTGTAGACTTGCAGTACACAGCCAGCAAAGGGTATGAGCTAATTGTTCAATTCCATTCAACAAGTTTCTCATTAGGGGCAAATTACTTGAGTTTGAAATCTGCTAATTTTCCAATCAGGATGAGTGTTTGCACTTGTGATTTGGAAATAATTAACACATGGTATAACATCAAATGCAATGTAAAGGCTAATGGCAGAAGGACTTATTTCCTTGGTATGAGAATGGTGTGTTTGGTTTCCTCAGAAGCCTATTGTTTCCCCTTTGGTGAAGGTATCTGCTGTGTAACGTGTTCTACTAATTAGTTACTTTGACTCTATAAGGAGCTGTTTGTTTGTTTGTTTGTTTTTTAACGTTAATTTTGAAAAATCAAACCATTATTTTTTCAGGGCCAGGGGTATTTTTTTATTATTTTGAAAGAAGCTATTTCTCTTGCTATCAAGTCAATACAGACTTTTCCAGAGTTACTAGCTTCTATTACCAATAAAAGGAGATCAAGCTGTGGCTTTAGTCTGAGTTCTGTGAACTTAAGAACACAGATTTCCTGGAGAACAATGTTCTTTTCCTTAAAAGCATTCCTGGAACGAAGATGCACTGTGGTATTTAGAAAGAAAGGATGTTCACGTTGGATCATTAACTGTGAGGGCAGATCTGTAGGTGGAAGAAATAAATGTTGCAAAACATACACTGTGTTTCTACCTTAAAATATCATTCCAGATCATCATCACTAACGCATTATCAGGTAATATGAGCATAATCAGATATTAGAATCTCAGAGTATCCTGAGTTGGAAGGGACTCACAAGGATCATGGAGTCCAACCCCTGGCTCCACGCAGCACCACCCAAAACCAAACCCGATGTTTGAGAGCACTGTCCAGACACTCCTTGAACTCCAGCACTTGGGGCTGTGCCCACAGCCCTGGGCAGCCTTGTTCCATGCCCACTGCCTTCTGGTGCAGACCCTTTCCCTAAGACCCAGCTGTCCTCCCCTGACACAGCTCCATGTCATCCTTGGGTTCTACTTTTGGTCATTAGAGAGATATTGCTTACGGCAAATGTTCCTGCCCTTATAGCTCAGTGCATGGCACTAACAAAACTCTCCACATTTCTCCACAGTGCCTACAAGGAAGAGGAGTGTTTTGCTCCCCATGGCCAGGCCAGACCCGCTCAGCCTCACTGGATGGCCTTGCTGGTGCAAATATAGTGCAGCCTGGTGACAATCAGGGTGTGACCTGGCCACTGCAAACAGGGAAAGGAGCCCACACCCCGTGAGCAGGCAGTGTGCTGCAGGGCACCGGCGTTATCCAGACTAACCTGCAAGTACGCTGGTTCTGGGCACAGTTGCAGTGACCAGAGTACAGCAAGTAAGCTCTGCCTGCTCACTGCTAGTGTGCAGTGCTTCTTGTTGTCTTCCTACCCCTAAAACCTCTCACAGAAAAGCAAACGAGGGTAGGGTGTCTTTATGTGTCATCTGATCTGCCAAGGCTTTATGGTACCTGCCAGAGGCACTATAGCAGAAGGCCTGCCTGCAAAGCCTGAGGAGGAAAGGGGCTTCTCTTTCTGGCTTGTCTTCTCTCATGCTCACAGACTTTGATATGGTTGTGCTTGAGGTGTACATGACTCATCAAAGGGAATTCTGTCCTTGGATCAATCCTTGACTTAGGTAATCTGTTTTGAACGCTTCCACTATGTTAATTGTTTGGGGCTTTTTCTTAGTGAGTTTGTGGATGGCTTGGATTTCTTCCTTCACAGAACGAGCATTTTTGCTACGTGTTGCATGCCTGCCAGGCAGCATTCACACTGATGGAAGTGCTCCTCGCAGGTGGTATGTATTTGCATCTTTATTCAAGATGACAATTACTCCCTTTCTCAGTTTTGCTTTTTACAGTTCTTTGCTTATGTATTACCATCTCTTCTGTGATTCTGGGCTGTAGTTCTCATTTCCATCTTTTTTTTTTTCCCTGTTGCTATTCACCTTCCTACTTCTGTTAATGACATCAGCTGTTGCTGTTTCTGTGCTTCAATAGAAATTGCTCACATCTGAATTGGTTGTTTTGGTTAGAGGCGATATTTTGTATGTCAGATCCCCAGAGCTGTGAGAGCATCTTCCCCTCCCTCTCTCTTAAGGAACATCCCCCCGCTGCTCATATGCAATGTGAAAAAGAGCCTGAGCAGGCAAGCCTCAGAGCCTAATGCATTATGATTCATGGGTTTGATAGGAGATGTTCCTTCATTTTTCAGAACCTATTTATTTTCCCTACGTGTACTATCTCTTATTTCCAGAAAGAATCACATTTCAA